AGAATAAAATAGAACAGAACAGAACAGAATAGAATAGAATAGAATAGAATAGAACAGAATAGAATAGAACAGAACACAACAGAACAGAATAGAACAGAACAGAATAGAATAGAACAAAACAGAACAGAATAGAACACAACAGAATAGAATAGAACAGAACAGAACAGAACAGAACAGAACAGAACAGAACAGAACAGGAGTCCTGAGCCTTATTCTCTTTCCTTGTCTTCTTCCTTACTGCTCTACATCCTTCCTTCCTACCACCTCTTCTTCTCCTTCTCTCCTACATCTCCTAACTTTTCTTCCCTCCTTCCTTCTTTCCTCCAGTCTTCCTACTTCACACCCTCCTCTCGTGGGTCTTTGATCCGTCTCACTGTTCTTACCTGCCTCCCTGACTTCCTATGTTTCCTAGACTTTTTCTAACTTACTTGTTCCTCCCTAACCTCTGACCTCAGTTTGACCTTTATAACCTTCTTCCTCTCTGATTACTTTGTTCATTTTCTAATCCATCTCTCTGTCCTTCCTCACACCCCCCACTTCTTGTCTTCCTTCTGTAACTTTTCTTTCCTTTATCCTCCTTTGGAAACGTCTGATGATGTTTCACCCATACACACACACACACCTACACACACACACCTACACACACACACACCTACACACCCATACAGCCAGGAGCGCATTAAGATATGAAAACATGAACCTTTACTTTTCCTCTGAACTCTGCTTAACCTCTGTGTGTCTCTCTGTCTCTCTGTCTCTCTCTCTCCCCCCCTCTCTTACACACACACACACACAGGTGTTTGCATTCAAACCTTAAAGTATTTCCATCAACAAACCACTGTTGCCTTTGATCTGCTGCATGGACAGTCACGCTCACTTTTACAATGGAGACATGTTACACTAGCAACTGTGTGTGTGTGTGTGTGTGTGTTTAGTCATACATGACCAACACTCAGGTGTGTGTGTACAGGACACATGATATCACCTTCTCATTAACTGTACCCTTCTTTGTTCGGAGTAATGACTGCAGTGTGTTTGTGTGTCCCGTAGCTTTGCCATATGTTGGACATTAATCCTCGTCAGTGGTCCACTCTCTTTACTGCACTGAGCACAGGAAACAAAGAGCAGGTCTCTCTCTCTCTCTCTCTCACACACACGCACACTGACCTACATTCACATGTTCACCTCCTCTAGATTCAAACACACACCTCCATACCACTTTAATTTCTCTAACTTCTTCGATATGACATCACTTCCTGTTTGACCCACGGCCTCAGTTTGGTCACACTCGGGCTTCCGTATGTCTCTGACTGTATTTACAGCTAGACAGGAAAAGTAAGACAGGCTTGACTTACTCTATAGACTCACAGACCAAAGTCCATAGAGAAAACCAGTGATTTTAGCTCCGACAGACACAGGAGCTGTTGGTCCACGTTTTCATTTAGTAGCAAAAGGTAACAGTGAGTCAGTAACTGCTGTGTCACTGGCCTTTAAATCACTAATTTTCTCTATGGACTTTGGTTCAAGTTTTTTCTCAAACTTGCCTGCCCGTTTGCTGTTTGAATTTGTCTACTTCTCTAAGTGAGATGAAGAAAGATGCTTCAGCTTGTAGGTAAAAATGGGAGGAAACACTTGTTAAGAGACATCTTCTACTCAGCACACACACAAACACACACACACACCACCTTGAAGTAAGCCTTCCTGCTCTGACAAACACACACACACACCCGTGTCCTCCCCAATGGCCGTTTCTATGGCGACCAAGCCTTGATCAATACTCCGTCATTGGCTCTGATGGCCGGTCAGGGTCACACACACACAAACACAGACATGGTGGTGAATAAGCACAGAGATACTGCTAACACAGTTGACAGATTGATTTAGCTCAGGAGGTGGATGACTCTTTCTTACACACGCGCGCACACACACACAGGCACATGAGTGCACACACACACGCAGACTGTGGTGCAGTTGATCTGCAGTCAATACCAGGGTCAGAGCTGAGGGTCAAACCCTCCTTGACTAGAATCTTTCATCTTCCTCACTCTCTTCTTTTCCCTCCATCATCATTTTTCTTCTTCTGTCTTTTTCTCTCCATCCTTCCATCATCTTCACATCTCTCTCTCTCTCTCTCTCTCTCTCTCGGCATCATCTCTTTCTTCATCGTCATGACTAAACACACAGAAACAGTGCTCTGACAGAACCTCACTGCCCTCAAGTCCCAGCCACTCAGAACCAAGAACTTTTAATCAGTCATGTACTGTCACAGACAGTACCAACCACCAGGGGCAGTAGCAGGAACTTTGAAAATAGTTCCAGAAACTATAGGATGGAGAGTTCCAAAACACTTTACTTCTAAAAATCGTATTCTCTCCGTCTCCTCTGTGTTTCAGACTTCAGTCTTCTTCAGTGGTGTTTCATCAGAGACTTCATTCTTTGTACAATTCTGGGAGGATGTATTTGACACCAGGTCAAAATCTGCTTATTTGTCTTGTCTAAGAACTGTTTCAGGAGAAAGAAACATGTTTGGATCTGTGTCTCTTTAACACATTTTTGTTCACTTCTCATTTTAACACATTTCACATTTATTGTTTTTCAATAAACCTACTTCCTGTACTTCCTGCCTACTATCCACCTGAGCTCGAACATCAACAAGAGGAAACAAAGAGCATCTCAGCGTATCGACTCTTTTGTCTCGTTTTTTTTCTTTTTTCTTGGTCATTTATTGAACCAAGGAATGTTTTGTTGTCAGAGGAGGATGACGTCTCCTCCATCTCTGTTTTCTGTCTGCTGATGTCTCTGTGCTGTCATAAATAATCTTAGTGTGTGTGTGTGTGTGTGTGTGTGTGTGTGTGAGAGAGAGAGAGAGAGAGAGCATGTGTATGTGTCTTCACTCTTTGTTTGTGGCAGGGCGATCTATTCTTTTTAAAGAGACACCAGAGAAATAGGATATATGTCTGTCCACTCACACGCGTACACGTACGTGCACACACACATGCGCGAGGATCATCATCATGGACGCTCATGATTTAACAGAGTGGACGAGTGAAAGAGAGAGAGAGATGGATGGATGCTCCTCTGGGCTTCCGTCTCTTTGATTGGACAGATGAATTACTTCATTGTGTGTGTGTTTGTGGGTGTTTCTCTCGCTCTTCCCCCCTCCCTCCCTTCCTTTCAGAAATGAAGAGAATAAAGCAAAATATAGAAACAGGTGGAGACAGCTATCGATAAAATGAATTGAGCGACTGCTGGAAAAACTGATCAGAGAAAAGAAAAAATAATTAATGAAGCCCTCCTCTAATTAGAACACTCTGTGTTAGTAGTTAGCGGCTAGTTAGCCAAGTCTGCTGTCTGTAAATATTTGACCTGTATACTGCCTATAATCTTCACATTCAAATATAGGTATGCTAATGCAAATGTGCGTTCACAGTGATGCCTGCAGTCAGTAGTCAGTGCAGCAGTGCTACTGAAGTGCAATAAAGTCTGGTGTCTATGTTTCTTCTGTTTATGCTAAGCTAGTATTGACAGGCTGTGCTTGTGCTCGTCAGTGGCCAATCTGTTCCTAATGTGCACTTTGACTGTGTCAACTGTAGTTATGTGCAGTTGTTTCTACTCTGTTTATATCAGCAAAGCTAGCAACAGTGCTAACTTGCAACTTGGCTTCAATGGTACCTGCTATTTTAAAAGGCAAAATGCTGAACAAAGTTGAACAAAAAAAAAAAACATCACAGTCAACAATCATTCGTCTTTGATTTAGTTTTTAAAAATTCTTATCTTAAAAAATTTAAAAAAAAAATACTCTTTAGAGTTTGTGGTATTATTATGTTTTACTTATTAACAAATGACTTTTGGGCAACATAAACACCTTTCTGCTAAGTCACTGGTGTATTAATTAGGAACACTAATGTCAGTGTGAATGTTTGTGT